TTGTGGATATAGGAACATGGTGTTTATAATGAGTATTATATATATGTGTATATATATATATATATATATATATATATTATATATATATATATATAAATATTATTTATTAAGAGAGGTTAATATATTTCCCTTATTTAAAGCACAAAACAGAAGATTTTTAATAGTTATTTTCAAGATATTTCTTTTTGAGCCTGGTTATTTTGGTATCTGCAAACATCTGTCAGGGAGTTAGCTTCTATAACTAACAGCAATTACAAGTCTTCATTTTACAGATCCTTTTTAATGAGATGTGGTCAGATAAGTTTCTGATGAATACCTGGATCAGCTGATTATGGCAACATGTCCACTCCAGTGAAGTAGCTCCCATTAGTTACTGCTGGTGATCAGAATCAGATCACAGAGGACATTGGATGGATGTGAGTGAGTAACTCAGGCATCCTCAGGGGATGAAGTGCAGTAGCTGACTGTGTGCAGTGAGACAAGAATACGATATCACTACAGAACAAATCATCTCCCAAAGCAGCACATATCCCAGAGCAGTACAATATTTTCCCTCTCCTTCACTGGCCTTGACTTAAGCTTCATTATAAAATGACAGAATTTGCAGATCTATTTTAATAAAAACCCTATTAAAACTTAAATGAGTGTTAGCAAATTATTTTTGCTCTGATTCAAATAATTTTAAAATTAGATATAGGTACCTAACTGAGGTACATTATGAGAGTCTGTGAGTCTGTATAATTTATAGTTGGAAAGAGTTTTTACAGTAATATTTAATGAAGCATATATGCAAAGTTTGTAAAAAACTTTTCCTAGGAATATTATGCACTCGTCTTTGCACCTTTTTCTCTTTAAATTAATAAAACATCCAAGATTGTTTTGACACCATCAGGTCCAAAAGCAAAAGCACTTCCTTTTGTTAGAGAGAAAAAAGAAAAAATATAATCAATGTGATAAAAGGAACTGTCACGTCTTATTTCTTCAGAAATGCAGGGATAATAGCTCCTAGCTGTCCTGTTTGTCAATGTTCTGACAACCCATGAAATAGGAGGAAATCCGAGGTTAGCCCAAAACGTGAAACAAACTTTGGGACTATGAGATCGGGGTATCCAGCAATGTGCTTTGGCACCTCCTTAAGGAACTTCTCTGACCATGCCAGACTCATATTCCAATATTATCAGATTTTCTTTCTGTGGGAGATATCTAATAACCTTTAGTTTTCATTATAGGTTTCTGAGAGTTTTTAATTTTTATTTTTCTTTTTATGGAAGAATTTTTTGCCAGTCATAGTCTGTGATATCCACTTAAGTGGAGCATGAACAATAGTCACAATAGGTGGCTGGCTCCCTCTTTTTTCCCAAAATGGCTATTCAGCCCTGTCCTGGAAAGTAACTGTCGATATACTATGGCTTATTTTCAAATTATAGTAATGTCTGCTTCTAATCCTATTCTTATTTCTCTTAGATAGTGTATTCATTTTAGTGAGTTTTCCCAAAAGTTTTTAAGGAAAACTAAGATATCAGTTAGACTGAGCTTCCCTTTATAATCTCTCTAGTAAGGCAAAAATGCAGTGAGATTACAAGAATCAATATCTTGTTGATCTAAATGGATCTCATTTTTCCATTCTTTTCATTCATTGACAACAACCCAATCATTCAAACAGCTCCACTTTCCATGGTAGCATAAGCTTGTGCAAATGTTTAATACATAGCAGTTTAATTTCATTTTGACTTGCACATGTTCCATGTCTTCAATTAACGGTCAGGTGCTGTTAGAAATTTTAGATTAAGACAAACAACCTGCAGCTTCCCAATCCAAATAAGCAATATTACTTCTTTGACAACTGGTTTATTATTCTGGCACTTCACTGACTCCTGAATACATTATACTTGCCCTTAAAATGGAACAGAAAGCTCTCTATTTCATAGTTTTAACTCTGAATCTAGCATACAAATTTTACATGACAACTCCTCATGGGCCAATTAATTTTTTGAAGCTATTTACTTGGATGAATATTTACTAAGTTGGCAGAGGAAACATTTAATATGGATGGGTTTGACCACAATAGCTCAGCTTTTGTGGATTTACTTAAATTACTATTAAATTCAAATGTCATCTACTTAGACTTGCACACAAAATCTCTCTCGAAATCCAGCTAGCAACTATTAAACAAAACCTGTTCAGCTTTTAAAAAATTTGAGCACCGTATTTATGTGCAAGTGTACCTTTATGAACCAGGTCTAGAGTTGGGTAAAGGTGAGCTTTTCTAAACTTGAGCTCCTTTGAGGGTAATTAAGGTGCTAATGCAAAAAGTTGTGATCCAAAAAACGTTCAGCTGACTGCTGCTAGAGTCAGTTGCAAACAGGAAAATGCCTAATGTGCCCTATCATGCTTAGGGCACAATCCCACATGATGGAGAGAATGTCCCACTGTCAAGTCTGTCCCTTTGAAACCATTTTACCATTCATTAAATGCTTCAGAAGAGGATGAGGAAGCTGTGGTGCATAAGGTTGCATTGAAGGGGGACAATCACTGAACCCCTTGTTTTGCTCTCAGCTGGCTTCTGTGCCCTGCTTTAGATGCTTTGTCCTACCCTGAATGTGAAACTCAGACCATATTTGTTTTGGGAAGTAGTACACTTGGTTGGGAGCTGGAAGATCCATGTTTTGGTTTCACTGAAAAGTATTTCTAAATGTCTGTCTAAACCTGGCAAACCAGTGTAAAATGTGCAGATGCTTCTTGGAGAGCCTAAACCCAGCACTGCACCTTCCATTAATACATCCTAACCAGCAGATATGCACTAGTCATCCTCTTGATATTTTCCCTTCTCTGGCTATAAAACAGCTGAAAACAGCTAGGCCACTTTTCTGCACCACAGCATGACAGCAGGACTGGAAGGAGCAGTAATGCACCTGAACCATTCCTGATCCCTTCCCCTCACAGTAATGCTTAAGGAACTTGCTGGTGGCATGTGAAAACACACAAACTTTTTTTTATTTCTAGGCTGAAACTGGCTCTGACTCTCCAATTGCTCAAATGCTTCTCTCAACCATGATTAAAAGACAATAATGATTTCTCAGTCAGGGAGCAACCAGTTCTACAAGTATCAAAAATCTATTGCATTTCCTCCCTGAGGTCTGAAAGCAGGAACAACTTCAACTCTCGGCTTTTGCTCAGTATTTCTAGCAGGTTAGCCTCCTTGCCTGTGCATGTGCTTTTTTAAGGGGCTGCTAAGTATGTTGGTTAGTATCCTGCCTCTCTTAAGATTTGGATTCTACTCTTTAGCAAGTGGAGATGGAGACACACACACTTAAAAAAAAATAAATAAAAAGAAATATAAGAAACTTTAATTTTAATTTTGGCTCTGACTACAGCTTTTAGTGTGGGGATGTAAGTTTGATCCTCTCCTTTCCCATAACTCATTTGCTTCAATTAATGTTAATGGAAACTTAGATAACCTTGAAACAGAAATTGTTTTCACCAAACAAATTCCAATAGCCACAACCCTTCAGTCTCTGGTAGCACTCAAATCTCCAGATGAGGTGCAAATATCATAGAGCTAATACTCTGGTGACCAAGAAGAAAACATTTAATAGTGCCATTAGTGCACTATTTGCCTTCACTTTCTGGTTTCGCTCACGCTGGAGGCTGTAGAGGATTCACTTTCCTCACATGTAGAAAAGCATGAGGATGGCTTGTGAACATATCCTACCCATAGTTTTGGAGGTTTTCTGGTAGCAGAAATAGAAAATATATGCTAGGGTAGAAAATTAAGCAGAAATGTGAAGAACTTTTTTACAAGTTTCAGTTATGTTAAACTCACTCTCTAAAAACTTGCTTGATCTTTTTACTTTTCTACAAGCTAATTAGGAACATTTTTTGAAAAAATTTATCCAGCAAGATGATGCAGTAGTGTGATGATATATGGTAAGAAATGAAAAGAAAGTCATTATTTAAGTGATTTAATAAAAAATTATATGATTTTTGAATAAATTGATATTCATAAAAGCGGTGAATTATTCAGTGAACAGCTTTTTACAACTCTGAAGTTTCTTGCAGATCATAAAGTGCTACATAATTAGATAGCAAATAATAACAATAAAGGAATGGAATACAACAAATATTCTTAATGAGACTGACATAGGAACAGCAAAATTAACTAAATAAGATATATTTAATCAGGTTTTATCAGTTGTCTATACTATTCAATTAACTTTACCATAATTTATTTATTATTAAATTATTTCATAAGTCAATTTTACTCTAGATCTATAGCCCATGCTTCTGCTTCCATTACAGACATGGCATAAAGCTACTTGAGCAATACCAGTTATAATCCAAGCACAAAAGTGATGGCATTTCTGTAGCCCTAATTTGAGGAAAGGTTTCTGTGGGCCTAAACATGGAACATATTCAAAGGATAATATAGACTTCAGTACTAAGGAATTGTCCATGAGAGCAAAACCTCCCCTTTTAGGTTGTACAGTCTCAGAATGACACATTATTTCTTATGACATGCCTCTAAATTTTCAGTGGCTGTAGATAATGCTGTGAACAACCTCAGCTTAATTACCCTAGATAGATGTCCACAGCTTTACAACATTGAAACAGATGATCATTACTAGGGTATGGCTGCACAGAGAGGTGAGTCAGCTGGATATGGGCCAGCTGAAATTTTAGCAAAGCCAGCTACATTAGCCAACCCTCTTTGTTTAAAGACTGTTGTTTTATACATTCCAAAATGCTTACTGGCTTCCCATGAAATATGATGACTTTGAGAGAACCAATCACCTGGAAGATTTCCAGTTCAAACTCTGATGTCATATAAATAGGGTTTCCCTGAGACAAGTCTCCCTGTTTAAATTTAATACCATGATAGATGCTGCAACCCTTGCATGAGAACACAAAAAGTATGGCTCAAATCAGTGTTTGTACTTTTGAAGCCCTTGTAAGTGGTGAAATTCTGCTGTTGTCTGAGTTCTGTTAAAAGATATTACCTCCAAAAATCCTTTATGGTGTAGATTAGCACACATGGTATGTATTTGCAGGCCCTGGCTCACCAGACAGAAGATGAGAACATCTGTCACAAGAAAAGAAGCAAACTGTTGGTTCATGGCTGGTATTTGTTATCTGGGATTAACAATCAGAATGAAGAGCTGTGTCTTGAGGCCAGGGTAGTATGGGATACCAGGACTGGGCCTAAGCAGCCAGGCACAAATCTGGGCACACCTGGCAACAGCAGGGCATCAGGTGCTGCTTGTTGTGAGAGAAGGTCATGGACAGAAAGGTATTGAGGTTATATAATCAGGAAAATGCCCACGCAAACAGCTTCTTTTGTTTGGCCACAGGATCCTTCCCACTGAAACAAATATCAAAACTAGAATGTAGAAAGTAAATAATAGGAGAGTAAAAATGTCTCTTTAATATGTCTCTTTAATGTCTCTCCCTTTTCTTTTTGGAAAATAAAGAGTAAATTTAAAAACAAATAAAAAAAATTAACCTAGAAATTAAATGGCAAAATCTTTGTTTATATGAATGTCAAATTGCAGAGTGCAGCAGAGTTCAGGCCTCTGAAAGGTGTGAAACATACCCCTTCTTTGATCTGTGCTGTAAAACACCAATAACATCTATTTAAACCTCTTGTCTTTGGACAGGTTTTAACTGGAGTACCTACACATTTGTCAGTCCATCAGTGACAACACTTATTCCACCAGATGCACAGTGAAGTGGATAAATCCCAAATCTTCCTCCCTTCCTTTTAGAAACACACAACCTTATACCATATTTTCAAATATCATGACCACAGTCATCTCAACCCAAACTGCTCAAGGTCTAATTGCCAGTCCTTTTGTTATACAACCCATAGGACACAGGACTGAGACATGGAACTTCAAAACTCTCACATCATGCATAGTTCTTTCTTTTTGTTATCCAACTGGAAGTCTGACAGAAAACATCAGTTTTTTCATAAGCAGGCATAGTCCATGCCTTAAACTATCATTTAAAAGCACATCTTTGCAAAGCAGCTCCAAGACTCCCTTCAATCAGCCTTTTTAATTAATACAGAAAATAGGGTTATGTATTTTAATGTATTTTAATCCTTTCAAAGAAATCTGTACTTATAATTTTTTTTTTATTAAACATTTTTGGGGTCTTTTTGAAGAAAGTAATTTCATTGTGGAACAAGGCCTGTACTGGAATTGCTCCAATTGTGCAAAAATTGTCTGTGATGATTTTTTAAACAAGATATTGATTTACTTTAGCTATTTTCTTTTCTGTATTGCACTGTTTCTTCACAAAGGCTCCACTTCATTTCCAGAAAAGTACGTGGAAAACAGTTTTCAGAGCAGCCTCTCTGAGGAATCATTGAAATCAAGCCTCAGCTTTGCACTTAGAAGCCTCTGTGCTACACTGTGTTTATATGAAAGCACCACCTCAGCTATTGAATGAACATGTCTGGGGCTAAAGGTATGAACTGCAGCAACCTATGCTGCAGCCATCTGTCCAAATTAAAGTGCAGCTTTGTTCCCTGCCCCCTGGGGACAAGAGGGAAAATGCAAGCTAATGGAAAAGTGAGCTTGCTTATTGAGTGAAGGAGCAGGAATAGCTTAACGTGGCCACTGTTGGTCAAGCAGCGCTATTGAAATTTCCAAACTCATCAATCTGCAGGATATTATGGTTTTGACATGTTATTTGCTCAACAAATGTGAGGAAAAAGAGAATCTACCCTGTTGACTAGATTATTTGTTGTGATCCATTTACTTACACCTATTACTCAGTGGCTGAAAAGCAGCTGTCTTGATATATGCTCATAAGCATTTGGCATAGGTACCCTTAGACCAGACCAGCTGAGCTCTTTCCTAAATTAAAGTAAAACAAAGAAATAAACAAGATTAAAGTAAATGTCAATAAGAAGCACTTCATAAATAATCTAATATGTCAAATAAAATATAGGAAATTAAGAAGATGACAGAAAATTAATAGATGTGCTAAAAGCAACCTCATATTACCCAGTGCTGAAAAATTTACAGTCGTATAGATGCTATAAATTTGTGACAAAACACAGGAACGGAAACAAATGGGAAGTAAGGCAGCAAAGTCAGTGCTGAAATGCTTGTGATACTAGAAAACTATTCTACTAACCAGAGTACTGGGATAGGTGCAAAAATTCTAGTGAATTCCATTGAAGACTCAAGTCATGAATGCATGTGTAATTTATATTGGTATCAATTTATGGTAAAAGAAATTTTTTTTTTTAGGGGTTTCATTTTGTGCATTTAATTAAAAATATTATTTTGGCTTAAATTTCAAGGAAATTTGGATTCTTTTTCCATAGGAATTTAAGGCTTTTCTGTTTGTCTTATACAGAAACATTTTCCTGTGATTCTTATTTCTGTCAATGAATGAGTGTCAACATGTCACTCTTCGCAGTTAATACACAGGCTGTAGTGCCCCTGTTACAGTAAAATTGGGAGAACAAGCTTTCTAAATGTTTTACTTTGACCTGTCAATCGTCTCCTTCGCTGAATGCAAAAGACAACTGTCCATGTCTGTTTGCCATGCTCATGGACAGGTTCCTCTATTCTTCTAATAGATGGAAGGTGACAATTCTGCCCATTTTCAGGTATTAAATTTGTCAGAAGTTAGTCTGACAGCCTCAGCAGAAGCTCTGAGTGGGATTCAACCCACCTGACCAAAAATCTCCAATGAAGATATCTGAATCCAGGTGACTCATCTTAGGTTCCTTTTATGATGAGGGAAAATGAAAATACAGTGATTCATCTGACATATTTCAGACACCAGCTTCATGCTGTAATCAGTCACATCATGCAACTGCTTATGTACCTTCATTGATTATGAAGGGAGTTTAGGTGACATACCCAGATATAGAAATGTACAAGGAATCTTACCTGAAGTTTCTTGATTCAGGTTTGAAGATTTTTTCTTGTAGAGCACTCAGCAATTATAGAGCCAGCTGGGGTTGAGGGAACATATCAGAACAAAACAAAACAAAACAAAAAAAAAAAAAAA